GGGCAATGGGAGGGTGCGGGTCCCTCTTCTGCCTGTGGCGATGGCTGTAAGGGACATGGGGGTGGGAAAAGACCACCCTCTTGCCACAGACCAGAGCAGGAAACTGCTGACTGTGCTGAGGATATGCCCTACTTGAGGCTCTGGTTACGGGAGATAAAGCCGGTGAGGGTTTAAGCCAAAAAGGCCTAGGGGCGGGTCTCTCGCTGCCACCAAGAGCATCCTAACAAGCCCTGACTCTACGCTGGAGGGAACCAAAGCACTTTTACTGAGGTCACCGTCCCTGTCACTGCAAGTGTCCACAGCCGGCTCGACATCTACTGTTCACGAGGTAACAATGTTCCATCCATACAGCCCTGCCCTGATGGGTCTCCCACTCAAGTCCAAGCAGCGCGGGGTCCTCAGAGAGGATTCTGGGAAATGACGCTTCCTGACTTGACTCTGGACCACCATGCGGCTCAGAGCATGCTGGCCCTGTGCTGTCCAACGCGGGAGCCCCTGGCCACATGTGCTGGAAATACGCCAGTGTGGCTGAGGGACTGAATTCCTAATCTTATTTACTCTTAAGAAATGTAAATTGAAAAACCGATCCTCAATTCAGTTACTGAGAAAGTATGTTTGGAACTTGAGTATCCCATGAATCTGTTTTATGAACTTTTTTTAAAAAAAATGGTTTTATTGATTTCAGGGAGAGGGAGAGAGAATCATCAGTGATCAGTCAGAACCACTGATCAGCTGCCGCCTGCACCCCCCTACTGGGGCATGGAGCCTGCAACCCGGGCATGTGCCCTGACTGGGATTTGAACCGTGACCTCCTGGTTCATAGGTCAGCCTCTGAGCCACACCAGCCGGGCTACATTTTATGAATTCTTAGTCAAGAGCAAGTATTTCCAATGAAAATGCAGCCTTTGAATTGAGAAAGGAACATAAACTGTCTCATTAACCATTTAAAAACTATCGATTGCACATTCGCATAATGTTTTGCACACACTGGGATAAATAAAATGTATAAGAATTCATTTCACTGCTTTGTTTTACTGTGTTAGCGCTGGGTTGGACTGCGCTCATGTGATCACAGTCATCACCATCCCTTAGGGAGAAAAAATTCTCCTTGAGCAACCAAGTCACACCCTGTCGGTCCCCAGCTGGAAGGCAGCTGCAGGCCCTGCCTGAGCTGCCGCCTAACATTAGGGTGCACATGCCTAACATTAGGGTCGTCGGCCTGCGGACTGAACCCTCAACAGATCACACCAGGTCCCCCACGGCAGGGAGGTATGGCTGCTCCACTCCTGGGGGATCCACAGGGTGGGGAGCAGTCCTGGCACGGGGGAGGTGCTGAATTTGACTGTGTGTGTATTGGGGGGGGGGTG